GAAGTTTTTAGTTCACATAATGCCAGCTGTTATTATCAGATATCAATAACAATTGCACTTGTCTGTGTATACAACTAAATTTCTAACAATTATTATTTGAATTTCCTGACTAATAGTCTGGCGAAAAATAAATTTAATTGATTGACAATTTTAAAGAGAGTTTTTTCATTAATTTCAGCGCTAATTTCAATTGACTAACAAGTTTTTTTTTTAAATTATAATAAGCTTAGAAAACTATTAAACGCCTATGGAAAATCATAAAAGAATTATTATTATTAGCTAAATTAATAAAAGTCCAGATGTACTTAAAAATTCCACTCTTTAATTTCCCATTTGTATTATCTGTAAATCTTGTGGCTCTCTCAGCTTTTATGCTCTCTCTCACCCTCTCTCACCCTCTCTCGCTCTTACTTGTTGGTTCTCGTTTGCTCTTATCATCGGTTATGAGTCGCCTAACTGATCTATCCAACATATGTGCCATGGACTGTCCCCCAGACGGCGCTCGATCTGTTCCAAGACCAGTTTCAAGCGCGTTGCGCTCCATTTCTGAGCTATCCCAACAAAAATAACGGTAAACAGCTTGATTTCAAACGAAACATACGAGCATTTCCCAGCACTAAATGTGCGAGTGGGTAAGGTGTACGTGTGGAAGGGTGTGGGGGGAGGAGGGGGGGCAGCAGATCTATACGATCATTGACCGAGCTCTTAATGTGCGCTTGTCGTGCTTTTAACCTCATAAATAGAAAAAAAAAAAAAATGATTTCGTTGTGTTTCTTTTGGGTTTACCTTCACAGCGAAGTATGAAATAGAGCAAGAATGGGAAAAGAGCAAGAGAGAGAGAAAGAGAGAGAGAGAGAGAGAGAGGGCGAGATCATGCACACATACATATTTATATGTATTTAATTTCGTTTCGACAGACACACGAAAATAGTTTTTGTGTCGAATGTTAATGAACTTTTGCGCCAGTTTAACGAATTGTGTGAGGCACAGTCCAACAAGCACACACACACACACACACACACACACACACACACACACACACATGCACACACCTGGCACTGTAAAGCAAACAACAACAACAACAACAGAAATAAAAACTTGAAAAAGTTTTTTGAACTTGCGTGCAACGAAAAAATGATTCTCTTTTTTTTTTTTTGTTTTTTTACGTTTGGACTTTTCATGCTTTTAGCGCTTTTCAAGTTTCAAGTTGTCGAAGGTGGAAATGATCACAAAATATTGATTCTACTGCAGGAGCTGTGCTTTATATGAATACGAAATATCTGTAATTCTATTTGTATTCATTTTTTTCATTTTACATCAAAGTTTTTTAGCTTATTTTTTAATTACTCACGAATTTTAATTACAGTAACGCAGCGATTTCAAATTCTTTCTATACGAATCTTTAGATTAGTTTTGATTATTAGTGATTTATTTATAGGGTCTTATTCTTCTTCTTCTTCTTGTGCTTTGACATGACAATCTGGAATAAAGTGTCATATATAACGGTAATCTACAAGTGCTCTACCCTATTTCAAAGCTATTGCGTTAGGCCCGTCCAGCCGTATCTAATCTAATCAACTGATTTGCAAAAATGCTCGCAATTAACATAGTATTTTCGTCGCTTTAACTTTTATATCATCGTTACTATTTCTGGCTCTCTTAAATCATGTCTGTATATGTATTTATATCTATTTGAATGATATTTATAAAGGGTATTATGTAGATTATTGTATCAAATTCAGCATGACTCAGTTGAAAATCAAATGCTGCCAAATGATGGTATTCTTTTTCTATTTTTTTTTTTTTTTTTTTGCTAATGTGATAAGATTTGGATGTTTGGTAGTTGCGATGAGTCATAGCACTTTATATGTTCATATGCTCATATGTTTTTGCTCAAATTCCAATGAGCTCAAATAAGTCGTAAGTTTCTCGACTCACAACCAGAAAGTGCTCGCATAATTTCCCTTTCAAATTGCCCTTACTTGTTTGCTCAAATGGGAAACCACTCAAAGAGTCAATACTCAAAAACTCCCATAGTTTGCCTTTTCAAGTATCTCATGTTTGATTCTACAAAGTAGCTCATAAAATATCCCACATCAAATACATTAACAAAGTACTCCCATAATTTCCCTTTCAAATTGCCTTTCTACTCTAAATATCCCTAACAAAGTATTCTATTTATGAAACTAGCTCAAACACTTATAAAAAACCGTAATTTCCCACTCAAATTGCCCACACTAAATGCTCTCAAAATGTCCCATTCTGGTAGCTCAAATAGGAGATAAGCTCAAATCGGAAACCACTCAAATAATTTCCCGCTCAACATAATACGTTTGAAATGCCATAAACTCGCTTTTCCCCAATTGAATGCGCGTCGCGCGCACTTGGGAAATTTATACAACATAACACAGATCAATGGGCCGACGGCTCATGTGTGTTGGTGGTTGGTTTTTTGTTTTTCTTGTTTTCTGTTCTTGGTCTGGTTTTGGGTTTGGGTACGGGCTCTCAGCATATTTTTCGGCAACTCACCCACCAGTCTCCGGTGCACCATCAAACGTAGAACTTCGCGTGCGGCAATGTGAACTCTGCACAGCTCTCGCCTCCCAGTTGAGTTGTGCGTGCGTGCGTGTGTATGTGTGTGCGTGTGTGTGTGTGTGTGTGCATGTGTGGAGCTCGAAAATGACCGATTTCCCAATGAACGATATCCTAAGATCGTTTAGAAAAATGCGCATGCATAAATGCACCGGTCAAGGCACTCACCTGATTCCGCATCATAATCACAGCCATCATCATCATCATCATCATCATCATCATCAGCAGCAGCAGCAGCAGCAGCAGCAGCAGCAGATCCAAAACTATCCGCACTATCAACAGCCGGCAGTGCAACAGTCCAAAGATCTGAAAAAGATTATCAAAATAATCAAAAAGAGTGTTATTAAGCAAAAAATTACGCGAAAAATGAAAATTGTTGTCTAAACGCAGGCAAAGAACTCAAAAGTTTTACAAACAAGAAAGTGCAAAAAAAATATATATATATATATATATATATAAAAGAACGATATGTCATAAGAGCAATTCAAATAGAACTTAAGACTGTCGCTATACAAATTAAAACTCAGGACTGATTTACAAAGAAACAGTACAAAAAAAAAAAAAAAACAAGTCTGAACTAAAGAACTTTATAATATATTCATCAAAGATCTCCGAGCACAAAGATAACCTAAGACTCAACATGGACTGGCTCAAAACTTTGGACTAGAAACGCAAAATTAGACTGCAAAAAAAGAAGAAGATACAAAAAAAAAAAAAAAAAACGAAAATCAAAAATTCGACATTTTTAGTTTTGGGCAGAAAAAACAAAAAAAAAAAAAAACACAATGACGGAACGGCCCAGTGAGAAAAAGACTTGGGGTACCAAGCAAAATTGGTTTAAGGATGCGCTGAACAAATCCGGCACGGAACTACTCGATGTATCCAAAACTAAGGCTAAAGCAGCGCCAAAGAAAGCAAATGGCAAAGGTAAAGAAAAACGCAAGTAACAAGCCGGGAAAAACTTTGCCATAACCCCCATAACCCCCCTGCCCAAAGCGTACGCCATTTTGTTTTGGTATACGCAGTTCAGTTACTCTTGTTTGGGAGGGGCGGGCAGAAGGGGGGGGGGGGCGTACGTGTGTGGGGAAGCAAATCAAAATAAAAAACAAAAGAGAGGAGTCGCAAATGCCGGTTTTCGAGCTTAAAAGATGCAAAAAATTTCCCTAGATTAGGGAAATTTTTCAAATAATCCCCGCATATACCGTTCATGCTAGTGCGTAGTTCGAGGGGGTGGGGGGAACCCCACCCTGCCTCTCTCTCTGTTTTTCTTTGACACTCTTACGAAGTTCTTACCCCTCAAGCTTATGCGTTTTCCTTTCTACATGTTTTTTTTTTTTTTTTCGTGAAAACTTGGGCCGGCAATAACAGAAAATTGCGTAGTTCGAGTGCGTAGGGTGGTTTTTTTTTCCAGTTATTGTTGTTGTTGTTGGTGCCAAGGGGACCCCCACCCTTAATGGGTTTTCCCAACCACCAACGAACTTAATGCGCGGCTACCTTTTGGGCTTTTGCGTTGTTACTCATCGCTGCTGGCACAGCCAAGGAAAATGCGTAATGCAGGTTGTCAAGTTCTTAAACGAGACCAGATCCAGGGTTGCAAACACCACGAAAGACTCGCAAGTCCACTCTAGAGTGTGCGGAAACTCTTGTCATATGCTTTGAATTGACTATTGGAAAATTCGATGAACAGATACAGAATGGTTTTCTTTTAAGAAGAATTGCAACAAAGTTTGCTAGTCTTTTTTCTACTTAAAAAAAAAAATATTATGCCATAATAAAATTTTTAATAATGCGTAAATTTATAAGCACGATTTTTTAAGATTAGCTATGGATAGAGCTTTTTTTTAATGAAATTAATTTTACTTTCACTTAATAGAGTAGAAGATTGATTTAACATTTTAAATTGTTAAATTCAAGATTCAAAGTTGTTTATTTTAAATTTAGAGTTATTTTTTTTGGCATATTCATTAATTTAAACTTTTTTTTTATAAATATTTTTTTAAGTGTATTTTTTTAATAAATAATTAAATATATTTTATTAATTTTAAAATGGGATAGTTTTAAGTGCATTAGACTAATAATACATTTTTATTAACGTCCTTTTTTTTAATTTTATTTTTTGTATGGTTAAACAAACATATTTTCACTTTAAGAATAGTTTTTCGTATATTATGGAGTTTTTCTTAAGTGTATTTTATTAATAATACGTTTTTATTAATTTACAAGTTTACAAGTTTAAACTAATTTTAGGGTATTTTTTTTATTACTTGTTATAAAAGTTAGATAAACATTTTTTTTTAACAATTATTTTCTACTTTTTTTTTGCATTAATGTTAAATGGATTGAAAACCGTTTGAAAATTTCTCATTTAATACTAATTAATATTAACTTTGCCTCTCATCTTTTTGCAGATTCAACCACAACCAACATGGTCTACTATCCCGCTAATCAGCTGCTTATAAAGACGGAGCAGCCCAGTCAGACGCAATTCTGCCTGCAGACGCCACTCACCGCGACGAGCGGTGGCGGCATTGGTGTTGCGCCACCTGGCGGTCAGCATGAGCACTACGAGCTATTGCAGACGCCGCAGCAGCGACAATTGCAGCAGCTGCAACAACAGCAGCAGCAGCAACAACAGCAGCAGCAGCAACAGCAACAGCAACAGCAACTTGCCAGCTATCAATTGGTCCTGCAACAACAACAACATGAAAGTATTACAACAACAACAACAGCAACTACAGCAGCGGCAGCAGCAGCAACAACAACCGCCACACAGCAGCGCATCAAAACAGAGCTGCCCTTGGCTTATGGCTCAGCTGCGACAACTAAAACGGCTGCCACGCCCCGCAAGCCGAACATTAACAAGCCGCAGTTCAAGTGCGAGCAGTGCGGCATGACCTTTGGCAGCAAATCGGCGCACACATCGCACACGAAATCGCACGCGAAGAATGCGGATCTCGCACTGGGCCTTAAGGGTGTCACAATGGGCGCCAGCAGCAGCTCGAGCAGCTCCGGCATGCCGCCGATCGAGCTGAACGAGGCTGGCCTGCCGGTGGGCATACCCAAGAGTCCGACCATCAAGCCGCTGGCCAATGTGGCCGCCGGCGCCGATCCCTATCAGTGCAATGTGTGCCAGAAGACATTTGCGGTGCCTGCGCGTTTGGTAAGTGTCACGGGCCTCTACCACATAACTAGCTAGTCTAAATGGGGTTAGCCCGGGAGCGGGTTGGGGTGTGAAAATATTGAATTTTCTGTGTTTCATCCATTTTCCGCACATTCGCGTGGATTTGCCAAAACTAAACAATTTTGAATAAGTATTTTATGTTGAGCTCTGAAAAAGTGCTTGCTTAAGCAGCTTGGCAAATCATTTTTACATTGATTTTAAATAAAAGGATCTTTAAAAAAAAAAGAAAACTAGAAAACGCCAATTTGCGGACTTAAGCCATTTTCCACTCTTATAGGTGGATTTGTCAATTCCACTGAAACGAAATCCCGCTATAAGTCTGGATTTGCCATCAATTTTTTTGTGTTCTAAGCGAATGCAATTGCTTAACAGAAGAAGAAAAACAGATTTCACCTATTTTCCACTCATGTGTGTGAAAATTGGATCGGTTTTTTTTTTTTTTAAAGAAATTTTCACACTATGCAGATTTTTAATTAAAAATCTAGAAGTATTACCCAGAAATATGAATTCGAATATGCTTTTAGTTATTATGGTGGCGTTTGAAGAGCTGCACTCATGCCTATTCCAATTGATAATCTTACAGATCCGGCATTACCGGACGCACACGGGCGAGCGTCCATTTGAGTGCGAGTTCTGTCACAAGCTGTTTAGCGTTAAGGAGAATCTGCAGGTGCATCGGCGCATCCATACCAAGGAGCGACCGTACAAGTGCGATGTCTGTGAACGTGCCTTTGAGCATTCCGGAAAATTGCATCGCCACATGCGCATCCATACGGGCGAACGGCCGCACAAGTGCTCCGTCTGCGAGAAGACATTCATACAGTCCGGCCAGCTGGTTATCCATATGCGCACGCATACCGGCGAGAAGCCATACAAGTGTCCGGAGCCCGGCTGCGGCAAGGGCTTCACCTGCTCCAAACAGCTAAAGGTGCACTCGCGCACCCACACCGGCGAGAAGCCGTACCATTGCGACATCTGCTTCCGTGACTTTGGCTACAATCATGTGCTCAAGCTGCATCGTGTCCAGCATTACGGCGCCAAGTGCTACAAGTGCACCATATGCGATGAGACGTTCAAGAACAAGAAGGAGATGGAGGCGCACATTAAGGGTCATGCCAATGAGCTGCCCGAGGATGAGGTGGAGGCCGCTGCAGCCGCTGCAGCAGCCGCCGCAGTTGCCTCATCCATAGCCAGCAACTCGGAGAGCAGCAACAATTCGCCGCCCAGCTCGCCGCCGGCGGTCAAGAAGCCGCGTCAGCCGCGCAGCATTAAAGCCGCGGCAGCAGCCGCTGCTGCCGCTGTGGCAGCTGCCAGCGCAGCGCCGCTTTCGCCCGGCTCCGTCTCATCCATATACTCGCCGGCCAGCAGTCAGGCCTCGACGCCGCCGCAATATCTGGCCACAACGGCGCCCAACGAGCCGGATGCACTGAGTCGCGATAGCGGCGTCGGCAGCGCCCCTCAGCTCCTGTCCAGCTATGCGGACGAAGAGCTGCCCACGGACTTGAGCATGCAGCAGCAGCAGCAGCAGCAGCAGCAGCCGGCGCCGCAAATGATCTACTATCAGCCACAGACGCCCAGTCTAATGGAGCTGCAGCCCAGCACGCCCGCACCTGCGCCCTCCGGCCTGTCGGCGCTGCTGCAGGCGGCCAGCATGGCGCGAGACGAACACGCCGATGACATTGACAACGATGAGGATGTGCAGGCGGCTGCCTTGCAAATGATGCAGCTGCGACGCGGACATGCCGCCACGCCACAATCCCAGCCACAGGCACAGCCCCAAACGCAATCCCAATCGCAGCCCACGTTGCATGTCAGCGATCTGGCGGCCAACTATGATGACACGCACGAGGCGAATGTGCTCATCGAGCACTTCAAACGCGGCGACTTGGCGCGTCATGGACTGCACAAGGGCTATGTGCCGGTGCCCATGTATGAGTAAGTAGCAGCTGCCATTCGACTCGACTGCGACTTTTATTAACTGAATCTCTCTCTCTCTCTCTCTCTCTCTCTCTCTCTCTCTCTCTCTCTGTGCCTCACACAGATCTGCCCTGCCCAATGCGGACATAGTGCGTCGCGTTGAGGCGGCCATTGGACTGCGCTCCAGCACCGAATCGCCGGAGCGCAGCTCCTCGCCCGAAAGCGATTCCCTGATGATGGCCGATCGCAATGTGTTGACACTGCCGCTGCGCAAGCGCAAGCACTACATGAACGAGGGCGAGGCCAGCAGCGTTGTTGGCGGCGCCGGCGGCGGCAGCAACGGGGCCAATAATAGTGCAGCAGGCGGCATCAACGAGGCGGTGGCAACAATAGCCACTGCACCAAATGCCACAACAGATGTTGCCGCCAATGCTGCCGGCGCCAAGGTGATGCGCATGAGCTCCGTCATCCAGTTTGCCAAGGCCACGTAGTGGAGGCAGCGGCAAGGGCAAGGGCAGCTCCAACTAATCAGCATAAAGACTGTTCAATAAATTCTAACTGAAATTAGTTTTAGTTTAAAAATTTAATGTTTAAATTGCATGCAGCAGACCCGTCAATGTTTGTGTTTGTATTTGTTTTCTTTTCTAAGCAGCAAGAAATGCCAAAAGTATTATAAAAAAGCAAAAAAATCTTTTAAAACAAAAAGAAGATAAGCAAAAAATTGTATGTCCTATTACGTTTATATACTTTTAGTATGTGTATTTTGTTAAATGTTTCGTATATATATTTTCATTTAATTTTTAATTTTGTGCGTTGTGTTTTTTGTTTAAGTCACATTGCAACAACAATTGGCATTGCACAAAATCAACCACGAAAAAACAACAACAACAACACATAACAATAATAAGCTACGTACATAATGAAATACAATTAAATATTTATGCTAATTAAGGCCATATTGGCAATATGCAGCAGCAGCAACTAAATACAATTAATATACAATACATACACATATAATTCTAAACTAAAACTACATATAACATATAACTGCAATTATATAATTATGTAACTAATGCGCGCCCATCAATTCATTATATGTTTAAGTGATCATCCAAAATTTAAATCAATTTGATATGCATTTTATATTTGATACAAGCGTAAACTAAAAAACAAAAAAAAAAAAAAACAGAAATAATATAAAGAATTGAAACGAAACGTAAGAAACAAAGATCATGCAACAAAAATTCACTTCAAATGTAAATCACAATTTAATACACTATTTTACTATACGGAGAATAATGAACTGATAAGCAAAGAGCAAGCAAGCATAATTAAGTTTAAATTAAACGCAAATAAAAAAAATTACAAAAAAAAAATAAACAAAAAAAAAAACAAAGCAAAAAGCTATGTAAACGCATATTTAGTGTGCGCCATAAATAATTTTTTGTAAACGCTAAGTAATATACATATAGTTATAAATTGTAGCATGAAATATTTCAAGCAAGCGCAAGCGAAATAATAAAAAACCAAATAGCATAAAAATTTAAAGAGATAAATTCAAATTCAAATACAGCAACAGGCGGGAAATGTAAAGTGATAACAGCAAAGCTTGACAATCGAGTAAAAATGTTAACGTTTTCAGTGAACGGCCATTTTACGTTTACAGTGAATCGAAATGTTAAGCAGCTGTTAGTTTGGCCACGCTTAATTAACTGCGCGCGCGTGTGAAAAATTGTGAAAAAGTGTATAAACAAAACTAATTGAATAATCATAGTGCACAGGTTTTTTTTCTTTAAATAGATACCAAGCAATTCGTATGTTAATGTCGGAAAGTGACAAGCATATGTGCGTTTTTGTAAAAATAATTATGAAAACCTGCAAACAGGCGGGAAATGTAAAGTGCTAGTGAAGTGAGCGCTGCCAATTGGAGCAGACATGTTAACGTTTTCAGTGAACGGCAATCAAACCAACTACAGCGATATGTGCTGTTAAGTGACTCTTGATTAACAGACGCTTAGAAAATAACGCGCGCGTTTGAAAGCTTTGGAAAAATGAGTGAACTATTATATTACAAATTTTTTAACGGCAACATTATTATTGCCTTACATAAGGTATTAACGTGTAAGTAAATATTCACAGTTTTTCGTTATGTATATTCCATTTATTGCTATATAACTGCAGTTCATTCACCTGTCTTAATTTCTATTATTTTTTTTTTATAATAATCAAATATCAATTCGATTGCAAGCTAATTACTGTCATATAACAATTATGAACGATAAATTTGAGATAATTGAAGCAAAATTATGATACAATAACGAAAGCTACGGTGAGTGTAAGAGATAAGGCAGCCGACACAAAAAAACAACTATACACTTAAAATAATTAGTGGGAGCTAGGTTCATGTGGGTGATGGTGGTGTAGGAGAGTGTAGCCTATTACAAAACTAAACATTGTTTATGAACTAATAATGCAAATTGATTTAGCCGGTCGAGCAGGCAGTCTTCAGATGCCAATATACGAGCAGAACACAAACACCACAAATATCATGACAATCATGAAGAGAATGGCAAGCCAAGCGGGTATCGTGCCTGCAAAGAAATGTAGCATCAGATTAGTTACTGATTTAGAGGGCGTTTCCAAGAGATACTTACGCCGCTGCGGCAGACTGTGTATGCAAACTTTATTGTCCACGGATATGGAGAGCACGGCTGCCTCGGTATCGCTGGAGATGGGCGGTCCCTCCTCGTTGGTAATGGGCAGAAACTGTAGTCCGGTCACAAACATGGAGTGAGCATGGGGAATGTGCAGCACACGCTGTGGCAGGCAAAGAGAAAATGTTCACTTCTAGTGCAAATACTTGCGAAAACACGCCGCTCACCTGCAGACTAAATGCTATGTACATGGATACGCTGCCCGAGAACATGGTGCCCACGGCCACAAATCTGCCATCGTCTCTGACGGCCAGCGAGGACAGACTCTCGTCAATGGGCACCGCGGCGCGCAGCTGACCGCTCGCACAATCCCATTGCTGCAGATAGCCACGTTGCTTGCCCACCTTGCCGAATGGATTGGCAATGGTGTAGAGCCTGTAGTTATCCTTGTGCGCCTCCACGGTGCCGTAGCGACAGCGCTTGAACAAATATTTGGCACCCTCTGGCGTTTGCCATTGCAGCTTGTGATGCTGTTTGCCCGTGCTCAGATCCCAAACGATGCCCTGCGCATCCTTCGAAATGCTCACAACGTATTTGCAATCGGGACTAAAGTCCAGATCATCGATTTCCTTGGTATGCGCCGCCAGCTGGGCGCTCAGCTTGATCTGTGGAAAACTCCAGATGCGCAACTGTCCGTCCGTGCCGCCCGTGGCCATCAGCTGGCCGTTGCCACTGATGCGCACCACGCGCTGCAGCGGCTCCGCGCCGCTCAGGAAATCCGTTTGCACCACATCCGCCGCTTGGATATCGAAATGCAGACGCTGGAACTGCTTTAGAATATCATCGGCAGTTGCCGGTTTATTGCCGGGTCTGTTATGGCCATTGGGTAGCGCCTCCACGCCGGAATGTGCTGCGCCCCGCTGCCGCACACCATTCTCATGCGGACGCTCGACCGGCGCTGGCTTTCGCTCCCGATCCGTTTCATCCTCGGATGCGATGCGTGGCTGCACGTAATACATTTGACAATGCGCCTCCTGGCCGGCGCACAGATACGCTCGCCGTCCGCTGTTGCGAACCGCAAAATTCATGACCACATTGGCGCCCGTCTCGTGGCGCAGCACCTCCTCCGCGCAAAAGTGGCTGCCGTTGTGATAAAGCTCGTAGATTTCCTAAACAAATAGCCATAGTTAGAGAGATGGATTGAACTGGCTTGAAGAGAGTGTGCTTCTACTATATATTGATGGCACGCATAGTTGACCACTTGGATATATACATATGTATATTCGACACACTTACAAAGCCATTAGCAACGCCTGTTTTGCTGGAACCGCCGCCGCCGGCAACCAAAATGTGGCGACTGGTGAGCATGTCCACCGCGTAGAGCGGAAAATTGACTCGCGCCAGCAGGCCGTCGCTGGGCCTGCGTGTGGGTGCCATTATCAATAATTAATAGCTATCGAGCGTTTTGTAGTGCTTGTTTTACTGGTTTCTTTTCGTTTTTATCAGCAGCTCTGAGTCAGGCGCATTTAATGTGATAGACCGTTTTGTTATTGTATTTATTGTAGAAAATATATATTTAGAATCAATTTTGTTGCTTTCAAACGTTTACTTTCATATTTTAGTTGTTATTGTGAATTGTTTACTATTTACACTACTAACATTTGTTAATTTTCTAATTTGTTTGTCGTGTCGGTGTCGTGAAAGTCGTCTAAAATCCACGTACACTTGACCCGATTCAGACATTCACTGGGCAGCGCAGCTGTTTGCCAGTCACAACGAAACGTTTACAGCAGTGTTAACATTATGCTAAATATTTAATAGCGCAAACATTTATGTGCAATAAGCGTACTATAATAAGCCAATATACATTATTATTATTCGTGTTTAAAATCTGCCCGCTTTTGGGCAATCATTAAAAAGCGTACAGATTTTAAATAAAAATATTAACAATTCAAACATTTGCGCACACAGATGAACGCAGTGTTGCATTTTTAACAGCGCCAGCTGTTTTCTATCGAAAACCTATCGAACTTTCACAGCCGCACAGAAACTGCAGTATTGCATTTATGTTTGGCCAGTTTGTGCTCGTTCAAGTTTTGCGTAAGGCAAACAATAAATTCGATGTAATGCAATGACAAGCGTAACAAAAACTCGTCAAAAGTTGGCGCATATGGACACAGATAAAAAAGCTGATCCGCTAACAGTGAACGATATGGAAATTGGTCCCATAAAAGTTGAGCAAGACACGAGCACAGATGATGAAAGCAACGAGGAGTCGGAGACGCCGGCTAAAATAGCCAGGATAACGGAGCAGCAGGAACCAAAGAAGTAAGTCAAGCTAAACTATACAATTATTGTTAATGGTATCAGGCTTATGCGTACCACTTGCGAGCACGTCAGGTCTTAAACGCTATTGTGAAATATTCGGAAATATATTTCCTTTTAAGCAGCAGAAAGAAAAATAGGAGGGTCTGCCTCAGACGTGCAACATTTTTCCGATAAATCACAAATTTAACAGCTGCCTCTTTTATGCTCCGTTCTCTCATGTTCCTGGCAAAGTTCATGGCAGCTTTCTGCTGGATTTACTTTCAGCTGGATTTACGTTCTATGCGTTTTTTTTTATCGTATTGTTAAACCAAACAATCCGCGTACGATAATTAATAGAGCAGGTCATAGAAACACATATAAATGACCAGGCTTGTAAATAAACAACAATAAACTGATTTTGATTGTTTATATTGTGATCTCAATTCAAAATTCAAATGTCCAGTGAAAAAATTAAAAAACGTGGTAAAAATTTCTCGCCGGAGGAGGAGCTAACGCTTGTCGAGCTCGTCGAGGAGAGGAACGATGTGCTGAATAACAAAAAATCGGATGCCTTCACATGGAAGCACAAGGAGGAGGTCTGGGCAGAACTGACAAACAATTTCGTTGCTAAAACGGGAGTTATGCGGGAATGGCGACAATTACGAGATAAATATCTTCATATGAAACGCAGAGCCAAAGTGGAACTGGCCAAGGAGAGGGCGCACAGCCTGCGCATGGGTGGGGAACCGGTTACGCCCATCGTATCAACGGTTTCCGAGAAGATTGTCGCCATGATCGGAGATGCTGCACTGTGCCTCAAACAAGCACTGGAAACAGATGGCAGTAAGTAGTGCTTGTTGTGGACAAAGATGGAGCTTTTAAATAGTATAAATAACAAATTCATTCAACAGACACTCTGGAAAATGAGCACAGCTATGAGGCTGAAGAGGATTTGTATGATATCGTTAGAGGCGATCATGATGTAAGGCACATCAAATGGAATTTGATATATTGATTGTTTCTTTGCAAATTGAAATCATGTTTAAATTATAGAACAACGATATTACGCTATCAGAAGATGATTTGACAAGCACGAGTTCCAGATGGGCCACATGTAACACTGGCACCGTGCGCATTCCAATTCTCAAAAAGAAAATGCCGCAAAGAGTTCCCGAACGTAAACGTAGTTTGGAGGAGGAAAAAGTGAAGCTGCTTCAGCTGCAGCAGAATTTCTGCAGATGCGAGAACGAGCGAGCGCAGGAAAAACACGATATGGAAATGCTCGAGAGACGCAGCAAGTTGGATGATGAGACGCGAGAACGTAAACTGCGCATCGAGCTCCTGGAGATCGAAATCAAACAGATAAAAGCCAAACTAGATTTTAAATGAATGAACTAAGTATATCACATTAATATGCTGAAGCTGACGTAAATTGAATACTGAATACGGAATCAGTAAAGAAATAAACACAAATGTACATTAGTTGACCACACGAAAATGTTTTTAATTTAAGCAGATCTTGGGATACCAGATGCTTCTGCTGGCAAACTAGCTGCTAAACTTGCCATGCACATGGATTAAAGAGCATAAAAGAATTTGAATTGTGAGCTTGGACAGATATGCTAGATTTATTTTGTTTATTTATTAAAAGGCGCCACAACCGTTCGGCAACATTGGAACGCAGAACCCGAATGAAGAATTTCACAATTGACGAAACAATTGCGCTAATCAAAGCCATTGAGATGCGGCCCGTGATTTGGGACATGAATCATAAACAGCATTACGATGGATATACGGTGGGCCGTGCATGGCAAGGCGTCACCACAGAGCTGCAGAAAGAAAGTAAATTATTAATAATTATAAATGATAATAATAATTAAATGAACTATTGAATTGTCTTTTAGCAAAGGATTGCAGATCCGCTTGGGCATCGCTGCGCGCAAGCTTTAAATATTATCAAAAGAGATTCAATTTCAATCGCACAACATCTGCTGCTCAAGCCAGTGAAGCCAATTGGGAGTTCGGTTCATATATGAAGTTTTTGCCAAATTTTACCAAGCATCGAGGGTACGAATGAAATATTGATTAAATAGGCAATTCTCTCAATTAAAGAAAATATATATATTTATTATAGAATTATTGGACACTCTTCTTCCGAATCCTGCAATGCATCTCCTACGAGCACACATGAAGACGACAGCAGTTCAACTTTTACATCGAATGCAAATTCATGCGTAAGATATGACGATGACAAAAACAAACCACGTTTCTTATAAATATTCGTTACCATCAGGCTAAAATGCCACTGGAAAATATGCTTAAATTAAAAGGCTCAAGGGGGTCACATCAACTAGACGATGCAGTTGAGCTGCCTCTGCAAAATCATGAGAAATTAATGCCCCAAGGAATTCCACTGGCGGTCTCTTCCGGCATGCCACAACGCTTTGCGAGTGAAGATGACAGCAGCTCTACGTTGACATCATACACAAATTCTTGTGTAAGATATGACTATATTTATGTCTGATCATGCGAATGGACTTGTATTATAAATATTCTTTTACATCATCAGACACGATTCTCACCGGAAAAGCTGCGCAAATCGAAGGGCGCGAGAAAGTCATATAAGCCGTCTAATACGATGGAGCAATCGCTTAAAAAACCTGAGAAAATTGTCTTTCAGTCAGCTGCGGCTCCTTCCCAGCTAACTTTGAGAAACCTGCCGGCTCTTCAGTATTGGGACAGTTTGTTGGGTAGGTTGTCATCAACAGCAGCTCGAAATGCTGAAATGGCGGTGACAATGCTGCTGCTCGATCGAATCAGGACCGAGCAAAATCCATAGAAAGAACTTATTCAAATTATAAATTCGAATATTCTTTACCATGTGTCAAGCTAGTTAAGGAAAATGATTTATAATTTTAGTGCTGATTTAGTACATGGTAAATTTGCCAGGCAGTTGCCAGCCTGCAAAATGTCAGGGTTACCAGCTTGCCGAATATTTCAAAAGTGTCGCACAGTATCCAAAATAAGTATTATTTTAGTGTGTCTACATGCATTCTATATATTGTATTTATATACATTTTTTATTTTTCCTGATTTCAATTACCAACAAACTGATAAACAAATAGAACGCCATTTATACGTATCTACTTTTGAGATAGTAAACACATTATTTTATGTTTAAATTTATTGAGACACCTTTATTTCTTGGTTTATGAAAATAATAATATACTATCTCATTTACACTTAAACACATTTACATAAAATAAATGTTACTGAATAACATATTTTTTTGAAATATGTGCCGATAGCTTTTTTTCTGCCCCTTTAACAGTGACAGCTGATTGTTATCGATAACTCAGTCGAGTTATCGAGCTGCAGACACAGCCGCCGAGAAATTGCAGTACTGCATTTGCGAATTCGCTGACAAAAACAAATCGTACGGGCTCCGCTGTGGCATTTAGTCAGTCGACAAATACTTGATAAGTGAAAATCGTATAATGGCCAGCATAGCAAAAGCCCGCAAGATATTGCCGCACAATGACTGCGAGGATACGGATGATCCATTGTCGGCGGGGGCGCATCTTGACATTGGGCCGATTAAAATTGAGCAGGACATAAGCACAGACTACGAGAGCACCGAGGAGACGGAGACGCCGTCCAAGAAGGCCCGCATCGAGCAAGATCGACCAAAGAAGTGAGTGAATCTTAAGCTAACAACGTTACATACGTGTGCATTTGTACATATATAAACATATATGTATGCCCGAATGATCTGCAGTGCTGTCTCTTTGTAGTTGCGATTTCTAATGTAGTCTCCATCCCAGTGTATTGCTACAGATATGCCCTTTAATGCCTTTACTCATAGTTTACGAATTTGCGGCAATGCAATTCCGCCAACTGTACCGTTTTTTCTAATTTCCGCCCTTGATTTCGCCAAGTGAATTGATTTCTCTCTGAGCTACCGAATTTAAATCGCAGAAGTGCATATCTCAAATCTCTCTCACTTGGCACCGGCTGTATTATTAAACAATATTGATTTGCGTATATGTATATGGTTTCAAGAAAAAATTCGGTGCCGCCTTTGAATTGCTTAGGGGTGGCATCAGGATAACAATTTGTGCGCACAGTGCTGTAAAACGCCGTGCTGAAATTGGCAGCAACAATTTGATGCCATATAATATAAGCCTGTCGATCTGTCTATCTTAAATGCAGAGTTGTGTTATTCTATGTTACTGAATTGGTTGTGTAAACAAATATCGTGCCCTGCTAAACCAAAAAAAATATAACAAAAATAATATAATAAAGTATTTGCTTTTGGCAATGTGCAACACTGCCAACGGCACAATTGATATAAATACAAAAAAAAAAAAAAAAACTAACTATCAAAATGTAAGTTAAATGCCAATTTCACGGTCTCATTTATTAACTACACTCTGATTTTTTTGCAGGCGCACACACAAAAACCGAGAGCAGGGCAATATACTAATTGCATTCATGACAAAACATCCGGACATTGCCAAAGGACTCTTCAAAGGCGAACGCTTTGTCGTGGACGCAAAATGGTGCAGTCTTTCTGTGGATTTGAACGCCGAAGGACCGCCATTCAAGAATGTATCTTCCTGGAAAAAGGTATTAATTAGCTTGGACAGGCCGAAGATCAAATACTCTTGTCGCATTTGGTAAAGATATCTGGCAGAAACACAACACAACTCATCTATCGAATAACGATCTTAAAAAGATTTGACTCATATTTGGTCAAGATATCTTGATGAACTATAAAACTCTTCATAGTATTCCGATCCGGCTCGTTCCGCCATATATACTGACTGCAACAGAAAGCTTTCCAACTGCGAGACAAATTCACATAGAAACATATAACAAATCCTGCATATATATACTTTCTGGATTGGGAAATGTGTCATCAATTAATGCATACACTATTTACAGGTCTGGTCGGACTGGAAGATATCCATTAAAAAGAAGCTATTGCAAATTAAAAAGGACTCAGCTGGCCTTGGAGGCGGCACCCAGCATGTGGTCTTAACGCCCGCCGAGGAGACAATTGCTCAATTATGCGGCTTCTACGATAAGGTGGAAGTAGTTAGATGCGGCAAATCCTTTGGTTATCCCAGCGAGCACGATGACATGCCAAAGGCAAGGCCCGAGCGTCGTTATTCCTTTAGCGGTGCACCCAGCTTGCAGACCACGGAGGACACGCTGGCCCAGTTGTGCGGTTCCTATGAAATTGTCGACGTCTATGATCAAAATAATAGCACATCTATGGACCTGCCCAAGAAATCGATAAGGAATAACGCTGACAAAGCGAAATGTGATCAATCCGCAGATTTGGATGACGATGTTATGGACAAGAATCGCAAACGCAATCGGCACACGGAAAATCTGGAGGAGCTCTGTAGTGCGCAAAATGCATTAATGACGCGCGTTGCCGACAGCTTGGACGCAATACGCTCCAACATGGCCGAGCAGACGAATGTAATGCTGCAGCATTTCAAAAGAATGGAGGAAATCGAATTGAAAAAGCTGGAGGCGATCAAATGTTTTAAGAAATAGCATATTTTTATTGTCCTTAGTTAGTATGTTTCTTTTAAATATCTATAAGCTTTTAATAAATGTGTACATATCTATTTGCATATATTCATGTGGAATAGTTTTAGTTTTGGTTAGATTGTAGAATACCCTTCCCTTTTTAATAAGTTTATGTATAAACTGATAAGTATTTATATTTTCAATAATATTTGCTTATTATAACCATGATTTTGCCTTTGTTTTACAGAATGGAAACACCAAACGATATTTCGGAGAAAATACGAAATGGAACATACGTGCTTCTGCCCAAGCGCATGGGCAGAAGTCCTGTTTGGGATCTATTTGCAGATGTACGTAAATCCGATGGCACCATACTGGATGGTTATCTGTGTTGCCGTAAATGCAATCGACTCTTTAAATATGATGGCAAACATACATCAAATCTGAATCGGCATAGATGCTTCTATGTTGGCGTGGAGGACCATAAGCCCATAACAATGGAGGATAAGAAAGCCGCTCTTGAGGCTTGCGCTCAGTGGATAATTGCCGATTGCCGTCCCTATAGCATTATAGAAGGTGCCGGTTTTCATAAGCTGGCCAAGTTTCTCGTACAAATCGGTGCGAAATACGGTGAGAATATAAAAATAGATGATTTGCTACCCGAAGCGGGAACCATATCGCGCCAGCTGAACAAAACGGCGCAAATGAAAAAAGTAGAGATGAAAGCATTTTTGGAGCAGAGAATGGAGAATAGAATTGAGGCCTCCGTCACCATGGACATGTGGACAGATATGTATGTAAAGCGTAATTTTCTATGTGCTAGTCTTCACTTTCAAAAGGACAACAGGCTGCAGAACATAGCACTCGGCATTAAGTCCATGGACTTGAGTCGTACAAACGATGAACTCATTCTTAGTAAATTAAAAAATATGTTGGCCGAATTCGGCATCAAGCATCTTGATAAACTGATATTTGTAACTGAGAGTGAAGACCAGAAAACGAAACCCTTCCGCAATTTGACACGCATAAATTGTTCTAGCGAATTGCTTTCAAATGTTTTGGAGCTCGCCGAAGACGCTTCAAGCGAACTGAAGGGAATAATTCAAAATTGTAAAAAGCTGGTAAAATATTTTAAAAATTCGAATAGCTATCACAATTTACCATCAATATTGAGAAGTCCGGGCACGACACGTTGGAATTCAAATTTTGTTATGTTCAAATTTATAACAGAGCATTGGGTAAAAATAACAAAAATACTTGCTGATTTAAATCAAGATCCTCTACTTGGTGATATTAATATAAGCACAATTCAGTCTCTACTCAAATTATATCAAGATTTCGATACAATATTGCATAAATTACAAGACGCCAGCTATCCTTCCCTGTGCTTTGTCCTGCCATCGATTAACAAATTGAAAGTACTTTGTGCACCAGATCCGAATGATATTGCGGCAATTGTTGAGTTTAAACAAAATATTTTAAGTAACTTGAGTACGTGGACCTCGAAGTTGAGTGTCTATCACCGAGTCGCTAATTTTTTATATCCACCCGCCAAGGAATACATAGAAGACAAGCACGATGGGGCAAAAGAATTCTGCAGAAAAGAACTTTTAGAGCGTCTCAGCCAAAGTTCAAATAATATCAAAAAAGAAAAGTCGGATACAGAGACTCAAACAATGGACTCCCATACAAATGATATTAAAGATGATAATACGAATAGCTGGAAATCGAGAGACTTGAACGAAGAGAATTCAAATACGTCAATGCAATCAATGGACTCCAATAACCCTGAAGATAAATATACAGATTTCAAGTTTTTCTTCTCTCACCTAATCCATACGCCCAAGCTTTCACTTGAAGATTGGGTTAACTATGAAATTGAACGTTACTCAAGCCATATAGAGCAATATGACCGATATTTTGATGTTATGACCTGGTGGCAGCAAAACCAAACGAATTTTCCCTATTTATCGAAGCTGGCATTTTTTATACTTTCAATACCCGCATCCATTGCAGCTTCACAGGGTATACGCAATTTAGCTGGAAACCTAATAGTAACTGGCAAAAGCAACTGCATAGCGCCGAAAGCTGTTGACAGCACGGTATTTTTAAACTTGGCTCCTTAAATTAACTATTTGGCCACAAAATGTTAAGAAACTTTTCAAATTTGATAAAAGAAAATGCCAAATGGTATTCCAAGAAATGTATAAAAAATAAAGATTTAACATTCATTTTGGATTTATATATATATATCTATATATAGTTTAGCCAGATTGCATTTGGCATGAATTACTTAATTTACTGTAACTCGCATCACAGTTTCATTCATGCTGCAACTTTAAGCAATTTGAATTTTCATATTGGCGCGCATTGTAAACGGCTCTTCTTCTTACACCTTTTGCCATTCACTGCGCACATTGCATCATAACAACACATCATTTAACACAAGTTGGCATGCCGTTGGCAACAGCACATAATTATTATTTACTCGGTGGTTGATTACAATTTTAAAAATGTTTTCAATGCGTTTGCGTGCATTGTGAAACATGTATGCTTAAGCAACAACAATAAGAGCTAACAACAATCTTGAATATCGACAAAATGGCAGATGTGAGCAGCATCAAGACAGAGGCTCTGGACGGCAATGCCACCGCAGAATTTGCGGCCGAGCAATTAAACTGGCAACTGGCGCAAAGCGGCGCATCGACGGTTGGCATCAAGATTGAGCAGGAGCATCCGGTCGTAGTCTGGCAGAGCAGTGAGGCCATGGCCAATTGGCAAGCGCCTAGGGAACAGCTAGACACTGGCTCCGAGGAAACAGAGGTAAACTCTTAATCATTTTTCTAATTAAGCTAATTGTTTCTGTGCCTCATTATTTTAATTACTTTTAATTATTGTAACTACAGTCATTGCAATTGTAATTGCTTAACTGCTGAAATCCAATTATTGCTGTATTGATCATATGTTATACACTCTTTCAGTATATATCCGAATACGATATGGAATTGGAAGATTCAGTTCGAAAACGAAAACTTACGCCCATGCAGCGTCTTGGCCGGAGAAGTGCCGAAAATGTGTCAGCAAAGCGTAAAAAACAGATGAAATTGCCAGAAATATTTCGATTTTTTAGCAATATTGAAAGAGTGAGCATTGTTAAATATTGCTACATTCCTTAACTTATGATATAAATGCTTTTAGGTACAGGAGTCCAGTGCCAAGCCGGGTGCAGTAAGTGCTACCTGCAACGCGTGTCACAGTCGCATCAAGGGCTTCGTTACGGTCACCTCAAATTTCATAAAGCATTTGCGTCTGAAGCACACGGAAATCCATGCGGCATTCATAGGAGCCAAGCAGAGCGGCATTACCGAACCGCCAGAAGTACAAGGAACCGAATCGTTCGATCATAGAGTCATGTGCTATATAATAGACACGGCGTCGCCGCTGTCAATTGTCGAAACGGATAGTTTTCGTAATTTGTTTAAGGGCACCCATTTGCGGCTCATTGGTCGCGGCAAGCTGGAAATGCGTCTGGATGCGCGCTTTTCGCAGATTGTCAACAGCATTAAAAATGTGATTGCAACAAAAAAATATGTATGCACATCCGCCGATGTGTGGCCAACTAGAGACTGCAGCTTTTTCGGCTATACCTGCCACTGGCTGGATCACAAGTATCAAAGGAATTCAGTTGCATTAGCCTGCCGAAGATTCACGGGTGATTCTGCTCAGATCTTGGAAATGATAAGCGGCATTAACAACGATTACGAGCTGAACAATCTGAAGATTGTGGCCACAGTAACGCACAATTGCTCCGATTTCTCAAGAGCCTTTCATGCGTTCGGCATCAATTGCAAAGATATAAGAATAGAATATGCGCATGAGCATGAAAGCGATTGTGAGTCCTATGCGAACTCAATGGAATTAACGTGCAATGCTTTACCAAATCATATTCGATGCGCAAGCCATACGCTAAATGTGCTAGCATCTACAGATTTTGTGCAGCTGCTCTCCATGGACAAGTCCTTGAAGGAGCGACATTCAAGGGTAATGTACATATTTATTGCCAGCAAACATATTTGTTTAATTGTAGTTTCTTTTAGATTTTTGCAAAATGCAGTTCGTTGTGGCGTAAATGCGATTGCCCCAAGTCGGCAGAGATTATCGCAGCCGTATTGGGCGAAGCTTTAATTGTGCCCACAATAACTCGCTGGAATTCCATATATGATGGCATTTGCTGCATATTGTTGCATAAGGAAAAACTGGCTGAGCTCTGCAGCAAATTGTCTTTGCACAATTCGTGCTTCTCGGCAAGCGATATACAATATCTGGAGGAATTTCGTATACTAATGGGTCCCATTGCAACGACCATTGAGTTTTTGCGAATGGAGAACAATTTGTTTTATGGCTGTCTCATACCCGCCTTGACGTCCCTTTGCGTTAAGCTAAAGAGAGTGTCGGATTCCTCCGAGCTCATCGATCTGAAAGTTGTGGCGCTTGGACTACAGCTTAAATTAAAGGAACGCTTTGGCAAATATATACGCCTTGCTGAGGATGCGAACAATGCAATTATAGCATCAGTTCTATGCCCAAGCGTTAAAATGCGTTGGTTCAATGCCCTAGCCAGAGTCTCTGGCCACGAACGCAGCGCTGACGACATACACAAAATAGTTATTGCCGAGGCAGTGCGGCATGCCAAAGCTACTGAGAATGCTTATCAAAGTGCGCTGGAATCAGCATACCCAAAGGAAAAGGACGATTTCTATGAATTCGATGAAGCTGGTAGAATCACATAATTAATTAATTATGTTTGTAGCATTTTAAACGTTTCATTTATTATTTTTCTCAGATGATGGCGGCGAGACAAGCGATTTGGATATGTCGCAGCCGTCGCCGTTGCCGGCGGCGACAAAACTTATCGATGATGCTGAGGCACAGTTTCATAGTTATCTGCGGGATGCGGGCACAACATTCGAGATACTGGAAAAGTATCCTCTGCTCCATGACTTGGCGCTAAAGTATAACACGCCCTTGACGTCATCAGCGCCAGTTGAACGCGTCCTATCACTGGTGCATATTAACAGATATTTAAGACGATCTGATCCCAGCGATTACCCAATAGAGAAACTAGTTCTACTTAAGGCAAATAGTGGTTTTCAAATGGTTAAGGATAGCAAAGGATTATTGATATAATTAGGACGTGTATATAATAATTAGCTTATATATAGTTTGTATGTAAATCATTGCAATGCATGTTTTTCCATTTCGTATATTAGGTAATGCCAAAGACAATATAAATATTTAAAATTTTATAATTTATATATATATATAAATTATTTATATTGTCTTCAATCAAGAACAGCTTAAGCAGCGCAGCTTAAGACTGTTTTTTTTTTTTAAATTTAGAATAAAAATATTTAATTTAAAAGAATATTTGATGTAACCAAACAAAGTAACAAATTTAAAATGAAATAGCAAAAGCAGTCAGTTTTAGGAATATGTTAATAATTTACAATTAACAGTAAATTTGTCATTTCTATGCAGAATTCTGCTTCTTATAGCTTCTGTCAGTCACTGCAAAGCTCTTCCTCTTGCTTGCCAAATGCAGTCACAATAGTGCCTAAGCACGCTTACAAATTGTATTTAGAAATTGAATAATAACATTTGCTTAAATTAAACTAAACCAGAAATAGAATTTAAACAATGTCGCAGCTTTTTTTGGATGCCGGCAGTATCAAGAAGGAAGTCGACAATTGCTTTTTAGACGCAAAGCCGCCCAAACTTGAACATGCCGAAGGAACACAGACGCCGGCCCAGATGGACTCCAAAGTAGATTTGGCCAAGCCGATGAAACGGGAGAAGCAACGGGAATGCGGTGCGTCGGCTAAAGCACAGCCAAAGCAGAAGCGTGCTCAGTCAGACGAACTCAAAGCGACAGGGAAACTAAAGAAGAAAGCAAGAAAGGAAGCAGAGAAGAGAGCAAAAAGGAAAGCTAAGAGAAAAGCAGAGGCGGATGCAAGGTCACAGCAAGGCATGATCAAATCAAAGTGCAGTCAAATCAAACTGGCCTTCATAGCGACCAACAGATCGCCTCCACTCTCGGCCGAGCACATGGTCAGGCTGCAGCAGGTGATACTGGATTTGACCGTCAGCCACACAACGCCGAATGTGTTCCCACAGTTCGAGGACTGTGCGCCGCAGTCCGAGTGGCTGCTGCTCGTCTGCGCCAACCGCCAGACGGCCGACTGGGTGCGTCACAATTTCGCTCATATGCGGCAAAAGAGCGGCTTGAGCATTGAGCTGCTGGAGGATAATCAAGTGCCTAGAAATCGGATCGATGGCTACTTTCCGAACAGTGCACAGCTGCCAGACGACAAGGTGCTGGCATTAATAAATGCACAGAATCCCATCAAAACCAGACAATGGCGTATCATACGCAGAGCTGTCAATGGCCATCTCTTGCACCTGTCCATGGCCATTGATGACGATTCCATGCACAAGCTGGGCGCGTGCGGCGGCTACATTTCCTATTGCTTTGGCAGCATATGCCTCAATCTAAACCTCAACAGATCGCCCATGGATCAGGCTTACGACTCGACCGATCAGATTGGCAGCGATTGGAACTCGATTTTGACACAGCTCGAAAATCTTCATGTTCCCATTGGAAACAACTCCGAGTGGCATTATCCATTCAACCAGGCACACAATGCTCACAACTAGACCCCGTCCACAACGGAAAGCTTCCTAGGAATCTGATCTGTGAGTTTTTAAATTTGCTCCCAAGTCTTGTAACTAATATACCTTAATTCTAAAAATTATGTTACTAATCGTGTATAAAAAACACGAATACTTCGGGGAAAACAAACTCACAATATTAAAAATAGCATATATATACATATATATTATATACGATATATATATATATATATATTATATTCTGAGCTGTTCTCTTGTTTTTATTATGATTTGTTAATTAGTATTTCTTGATATATTGAAATAAATCAACTTTTGTTTGACCTGTTTACAGTATGTCAGGAATGAGCTTGAATAAAACTATAATTTTTCAACTATTAGACTAAAAATATGAGCACCCGCCTGCAAAAAAAAAAAATTTTTCCCCCTTTTTGAAAAATGTCTAAATTCGCCCCCAAACATATCGTGTTCTTTTTGCGATGATTAATCGAGAAACTTATCGATGTTGTGAAAGTATCGTAAACAGCTGATATATTCAACGAAGGCAAGCGGCAACTTTAAATAAGAAACTTAAAATGATCATAATTCCACAGTTTTTAGAATTGAAACATGGCGAAATTTCGACATTTTTTGTTTATAATAACTTATTTAAAATATTGTAATTAATACAAAAATATTTTCAATTAAAATTACTATCGCCAACAACACACAGCTCTCCCTTTCCCCCTTTCCCTCTCTTGAGCCATGTTTATCGCAATCGAACTTGCAGCTTACATCGTCTGCTTATTTGTGCTCTCTCTCACTCTCTCACTCTCTAAGTGTAAATTTGAATCTCTGCCTCTTCCCGTCTTTTTACATATCTTGCCCTCTTTCTAAACACTGCGAATTCACAGTGTTATTCTGCCTTGGCGCATATGTTAGTATTTATGAATTTATTGTCTTGTTTTTTTTTTTTTGTTTTACGTTAATCCAAAAGGACTTCAGCGCAGAGTTTCGTTGACTTGGGGTCGCGTTTAAAACCCGGATGGACATGCTGGGCATAAAAAAGTGCTTTGCCTTGAGCCAGCCACTGCCAAATAAGGCGCAGCAGCCGCTGATCTCGGGTGGCAATTTTTAATGCCAACAGCGCACATTGTATGTCAATTACGGTTTTTATTGCCTTCCCATTCTTTGTTGTTGCTGTTGTTGTTGCTGCTGCTACTGTAGTTGTTGGTTTTGTTTCATTGTGAATCAGCCGCGGGCAGCATCTTTGTTTCAATCGGCGCTTTGCTTTCTGCTTTTGTTCAACCGCAAAAGGTAAAACAGCGTCTGAGCGGGGGAAACAAAACACCGCTTAAGCTACTCTCACGCTTGCCCCCGTCGGCGCCAATTAATAAATGAAGCAAAAAGTAAAAGATATGCAAATTCGAATTGAACGCATGTTTTATTTTTATGTTCGTCAAGTGAAAATGAAAATTGTCGCGCAATTTGTCTTTGGCGCCCCACTGATAACGTCTGTCTACGCACCTAAACGTGTTTAAGCTACCGCCCCGCCACGCTCTGCTGCGTATGCTCAGTTTCAAGTTTTACAGCAATTCGATCAAATTTCACTTTTATGTGATCTCAATTTGATTTGTTACATATCTTACATACAAAGATACTACTTGCACGCATACATACAAACAAACTCTATATATACATACATGTGTATGTATTGAATTTCAACTGTGTTGACCTCTTGGTCTAATGAGAAAGAAGAAAGGTAAATTAATTGAGTGTTGGGCGGCGTGTAGGTGAAAAATTTCGCTGGCACTTTGTTTAATTTTTGTTACAGCGTGGGTCTCAGCTTATTAAGTCTTAGTGCTTTTGGGTTCAGTGCACTTGCACTGTCAATAAGTACATACACACATGCATATGTACAGTCATAAACCATAGAAGTAACAGTTATCTTGAGTCAACTATGTGCACTTTGCTATTTCTTGATTTATTGCTTTAAGGTTGACATTGCTGCATTCACAGATAAGCTAGCGAAAAAGTCGCTCAATTCTCCTACTCACTCGTACATACATACATGCATATACATACATATGGTAAGTATGCATGGCTTTTGAGTTTTTTGCTCAATTTCGTAATAAATCTAAGCGGATGAGTTCATGACAACAACAATAAAAGGTACAAAAAAGCCCCAATTGAGCTATGGAATATTTGTCTAAGCTGTCAAAAAGTATGCTCATCAGCTCAACTCTCTTCTCTCCGGGCATTCGTTTTACCCTAAAAGCGCCATTTACCGGTTTGCTAACGTCGTTTTTACTTTGAATTGTTATTTGAATTTTAACCGTTTGTGCCGAACAACACAAGTGTCACAATTGTCATCTCACTCGCTCCAATGCACAAGCAGACCAAAGGCGCCTGGAGCAGCTTCCCTTAGGTATAAACAACAACTGAAGAGCACAGCTGCCAATACCGCACCGTGGGTAAAAGATATATACATATACTACGCATACTCCTTGTTTCGAAGTTCAATCATATAAATATTTTAAGCTTACATTCAATTTTTATTTGTATGTACTTAATTTACAATAACATATTTCAGAAAAATAATGTATATGCTGCCGAGCACTATCTATTAAGCTCTACAATTTTAAATAGCTACTCTTTCTGACACAATACCAGCCCTGCAGCAGTATTTCATTTGAGTGAGTATTTCTTTAACATTGCCCACTGTGCCGCTTCTCCTGCGATCGAGTACAAAGCAGCCTGGTGGGCGCCTCAGTCGCTCAGTCGTTAAATTTGCGTCAACACGATCGTTACATAGCGCTGAGCGCCGTGATAAACTCAAGTTCAAAGAGTAAAGAAAATAAAGTGCAGTTCAATAAATTTGTTTGTGTAAAGTATAGTTATAATAAAAATTATAAAATTTCGTGTGTTTTATAAACGTTAATTGGATACTTTGTGGAAATTCGTAGTTATTAAAACTGGTAAGTAGACGAGGCGCTATAGCAATTGGAAACTGGAAAGAGTTTTATCCGGTTCGCTGCAGTCCCTTTTTCGCTGTTGGCTGCTACTGCGCAAATGCAATAGCAACAACAATTACAGCTGCAGAACGCCGACGCCAATAACTTTGCAGCTCTTTGAAATTTGCAGTTGCTTTTGCTGTCGCTGTCGTTGCCCTGACAGCAGGCGCTGTTTTTCCTTTTCCTTTTTGGCCCACGCTTTGTTGCTTCCAATTTCCAGTGGCCGGCGTTCGGTATTGCAGTTCTTGTTATTGTTGTTGCTCTTCTTATTTTATACAGTAATGAGCGAGTGCTTGTTATAGCTGCTGCTGCTGCTGCTGTTACGGCCTGTCACTCTTCTTATTGGCATTGCTCTTTGTTTGCCGTTGTTTGTTGCTCCTTGCGTTCTGCAAGGGCGTCTTTCTCGAGTGTTTTATGCATTTCGCTTGCAGCTGTGGGCAGTATTATAACGGAGCAGCAGCCTATGTATTTTTGTACGTGTTCACAAACGATGTGACAAACGAGGGGAGCTTGAAAAGTACCTGACTTGGCACTTAATTGATTCGATTATGAGTAAATAATAAGATAAGATATAATAAGGACATTTATTTAAATGAGGGCTGTTTATTAAATATCTGTTTCAGAACTAAATTTCGGTTAAAATGATGTTAAATTCTTTATTTAAGTTGTTTTTATTAGATTTAGTTTTTATAATGTCTCCCCTTTTAATACATTCTTATAATTTATTTATTTATTATCATTTTGAAAATATTCTCTTTCAGTAACAACTTTAATCTTATTTTTCATCTAATCCCAAACGAATCAACTAATATGGAGAACCTAACCGTTAATACCGAAGGTAAGTTCCATATTGCTTTACATTTTCCCACAGTTCTTAAAAGTCTGTGTACCATATTATAAATTTTCTTTAGTTCGCTTTTATGTTAATTCCTTTTTTGTTTACTTTGTTGATTTCTTAGTGCTAGCTGAACAACAATTGTTTGTGTCTTCTGTGGCAAAACACGTCCTCCGCCCCAAACAAGTTCGCAATTCGATTTTTGTTGTTTTTTGTGCTGCTCTTTTATTGTGCGGGCGGAACAAAAGATGCCACGCCTCGTTGCGTTGCAGAGTTGTTGTGATACCCTTCCAGTGAGAGAGGGAGAGAGAGAGTATATTTTGTTATGCGATGTGGAACGTATCTAAAACTATCAACATATCTATGATAGAGGAACCGATTATCAAGTTTTTCTATGAGAACTCCGGAAATATTTTGTAAATTCTGCAATATGACTGGAAGGGTATTTAATCTTTGGCACTTCATAGATAACTGCACTTGGTTGTTGTTGAGTTTGCCGCGGGCTGTGCTGCATTTGCATAGCAATCATAAAAATGCAAGGCAAATAAAATGAAATTCATGCGCTGTGCACTTTTTAGCATTAAGCTGCATTGTGTTGGGTAAAAGTATCTGCTGGATACAAAATGCTAAGCAAAACGATGCCGTCGCAGCCGTTACTGCCACTGCTGCATGCTGCATGCCGCATGCCGCATGCCGCATGCCGCTTGTTGCAAGTCGAGTGGCATAGATTACGCGCTATTGTAGCCTAAATACGTTGAATGCGCATCCAACAGATACACTTGCACATAAAGTTGCAACTGTAGCTAAACCCCTCTACTCTTACCCTGCTGCCCACCGAACTTCCTCCTGGCGCCATTGTGACAATCTTATTGGAAATGACGTAAAGTGTTTAGGACTCTGCCGCCAGCCGCTTGGCTTGTGCCCGTATTATTATCTATACCGTCGCCCGTTTGACGCTCTTCACTCGCGCACAATAGCTCGCATTCAGATATTGTATAAAAAAAATATGCGCACAGATTTGCGGCAAATTTGAGGCCAGTGGCGTTACCAGCAAAGTTTACTGCAGAGGGCTGTAACATTTAGTTGTTATGTTATTTTAAAGATACGCTAAAACCACGTATTAAGTTAATTTATAAAAAATTATCTTATTTACATAGTGAATAAATGTTAGATGACTTATCTAAGCCCATTTAGATACCAAGAATTTCAACTCCATGAAGCCAACTTGGCAAAGATGTCCACATAGTATCTATAAGATACTTTTAAGAGCAGCATTTCACATTCAGTACAAAGTTGTATCTATGAGATGCTCAAACAGATATTTCTATATTTCTGATTTAGTTTTAATTCGATATTATAATATTCTTTCTTTAGGATAT